CTTGTTTTCTGACCTGCCCCAGGCCTCTGATCTCTGCTGTCCTGAACTGTGGAGGGTCAGGAGGAGCTGGCTGCTGCTGATATGCAGATCCAGTCTCCAGGACTCTCGCTGAGTTGCACAGAGAGCAGCAGCCCTTCAGAGTTCCATGTCCTGAACTGGAAACACACAGAGAAGCCTGCCATCAGGCCAGATGGTGGCAGCCGCTGGGAGCAAACAGGAAGCTGCTGCTGGAACTCAGGAAGGTGCAGGCAGGCAGGTGGGGCCAGGAGCACGAGAAGGTCACATTTCCCTTGAGGATGAGAGAGCCAAAGGATAATATAAACAGTATGTGTTATTGGCTGCTCTTGTATTCCAACAAACCCAAAACATGATTCAAAAAGTTCAAAAATAAAAGAGCAGTCTGTGAGGAGGAGGGCTACGACTCACTAAACAAAATAAGCACGCACAGAGATGGCTTTTAACTAAAAACTTGGTTTTTATTTCCATAAACAAAAAAACGATCTCGCGTTAACTTTCAGTATTATAAACAAATAAATAAAACAAATAAAGAAACTAAGGTTGACTTTAGAGTCTTTACTGTTAGCGTATTTAGCGGTCGAAAAACTGTTATCATCTTCCTCCCATGCCTCACTCAATCCATCAGCGAAGAACACAAAGAACCAGCTTGTGCGTCCCCTCTGTGAATCAGCTGAATTCTCAATAAAGCTGTTCTCATTGACATGTTTTTTCTGTTTCTGTTGTCATGACAATGGAACAAGTTTGAAACAGTGACTGAAACATGGCCTATTATGACTACATGTTAACAGCAGTCTCACTTTCATCATGGGGCAGTACTGCACTTGACCAGCTGACCAAGCCAACAATGACTTTTTAAGAAGTTCAGTGTTTGTGTGTGTGTGTGTGTGTGTGTGTGTGTGTGTGTGTGTGTGTGTGTGTGTGTGTGTGTGTTTTCTGACCTGCCAAGGCCTCTGATCTCTGCTGTCCTGAACTGTGGAGGGTCAGGAGGAGCTGGCTGCTGCTGATATGCAGATCCAGTCTCCAGGACTCTCGGCTGAGTTGCACAGAGAGCAGCAGCCCTTCAGAGTTCCATGTCCTGAACTGGAAACACACAGAGAAGCCTGCCATCAGGCCAGATGGTGCAGCCGCTGGGAGCAACAGGAAGCTGCTGCTGGAACTCAGGAAGGTGCAGGCAGGCAGGTGGGGCCAGGAGCACGAGAAGGTCACATTTCCCTTGAGGATGAGAGAGCCAAAGGATAATATAACAGTATGTGTTATGGCTGCTCTTGTATTCCAACAAACCCAAAACATGATTCAAAAAGTTCAAAAATAAAAGAGCAGTCTGTGAGGAGGAGGGCTACGACTCACTAAAACAAAATAAGCACGCACAGAGATGGCTTCAACTAAAAACTTGGTTTTTATTTCCATAAACAAAAAAACGATCTCCGGTTAACTTTCAGTATATAAACAAATAAATAAACAAATAAAGAAACTAAGGTTGACTTTAGAGTCTTTACTGTTAGCGTATTTAGCGGTCGAAAAACTGTATCATCTCCTCCCATGCCTCACTCAATCCATCAAGCGAAGAACACAAAGAAACCAGCTGTGGTCCCTCTGTAATCATGGGCGGCAAGGAGGAGGAGGATCCTAATCAACAATCCATTACAATAATAACAATAAATATTAATTCTTTCTTAATTCCTTTTCTTATTTTATCCATAGAAATTAATTTTCAACTTAATTTACAAATAATCCAAAAACAAAAACAATTATTATGTTAAACCAATATTTAACTTAAGTCAATAGGCTCCAACAGTATGTTTGACTGATTGTCTGACTGACAGTCTGGCTGACATTGGGACTTTCCAGTGATGTCAACGTGTTCCCATATTTCAGCTATTTACATTGTGAGTACAATGTTATTATTACTGACAGAAATAAAACTATGAATATGAAGTTGTAATAAACTGAAATTATCAGCCTATTTGAAATGAATGGCCATCTGACATTTAGGAAAAACAGAAAATTCATTAAACTTTTTCATAAAAGTATTTATACATATATACAATACATATATTTTTTTATCTGCATGCTCCTTTGCTTGGATAACTGTGAAGAAGTTTCACTACAGCTACATTTATAGTCCCGACACTGGTTGAATAGAATCAACATTTCCCTGTCAACTAGATGTCACAGCTCACAGAGTTCCCCTCTTGTCTCCATCTCCACACCTCCCTACCCCTTCACCTGACTGCTGCTTCATCTCCACACCTGTCTCCCATCCTCTAATAATCTTATGTTCTGCCATATTCACTGATCTTTACCCTGTCTGTCAGTCTGTATCTTGTACCAGAATTATTTTCCATGTTTCCTCATGACAATGACAAACTTCAAACAAGCTTCTCCTGTGTTAAGGATTACCAGTGTCCACTTCTCTGTGGAGAGACTGCATCTGTCCTCATCATCTCAGCCAACCAGCCTCAGTCCCCTCACTCATCAGGCTGCCTGTCCCCTGCCTCATCTCCACCTCTGTAACCTCTGTCCTCAGCTACCTTGTGTCTGTATTTGGGTCCAGAACAAACCAGGCCTTAACAGTGGATGAGTATAGTGCATATAGCGCGTTTATAGAGTATAGTGGAGTAAAAGAAACTCACCACTGTGTAAATCTGTGGCTTGCGTCTCTTTGCCAGGTCAATGATGTTGATACCGTTGTAGTATAGGTTTTCAATGCAGCCGTGGAAGTTCTTCCTGAGAAAGGTTCCAGGTTTGCCGGGCAGCGGAATGCCGCCAAAACTCAGCTTTTAATGAAGAACGCAGAAAAAACATTATAATCATATCACAGAGACATGTAGTCATGTAGGGGATATAGAAACCTGATTTTTTAAATCACTTATGGGATTATAGAAACCAGGGCCTGTATTAACAAAGCATTTTATCTTACCACTAAGAGAAGTTACACTAAAAATTTTTGACTAAAAGTCCTATTCACAAAGCTGCTGAGACCAACTTTTACTAAGGAAAAGTGAAAACTCCTAAGCTAAGAGTGCGATTCCGTTGCTATGGCTGACGTTAATTTTCATGGATGAGCTCACTTACAAGAACCACAGTGATTGGTTGATGAAAGAACTGTTGTGCCAGTGAAAACACATGGGCAACATCCCACAGTAATAATAAAAAACACTGAGAAATAAACAAATAAAAATTTTATAATAACTGATTGGTTGCTGTTTACAAAAGTATTACATTCTCCAAAATGCATCTATATGATAAGGTTTGTGTCGACCCCGGAGAATTTAATTTTACTAAAAAAAAAATAAAAAAAAAACTTACAATAAAGAGCTCATCTGTCATAGACAACCTAACTAAAACTAACTGGCAGCCTATTAGCCACAGTCTGTTCTAGCTGTACCTATTGTAATGTAGCTATGGTCCCGGCTGTGGGTTGAAGTGTGAAAAGAGTTCCACTGTCCCCCACCAGGTGACAACCAGCTGGAAAATGATCCTTTCAAACAGCTGCCTCAGGTCACTCTCCATTTAGATCCATGAATCGTGTGTAGATCCTGGACACAGTACAGTACCCTGTACAACAGTGTCTACAACTGTACAGGCATCCAGTACAACCTGTGTGTTGATGGTGTGATTTTGTTTTCCTGTTTACAAATACCTCCTCATCCTGTGATGGTACACTCATTTTTACATGCATTCCATCTATGGCATCGATCACACTGGGTAGACCGACCATGAAGCTGCTTTTTCTCTGTAGTTGTTGAACATCTAAAGGAAATGAAATTAATTGTTCTATGATCTACAGAGACATTTGTTGTTTGGTGAATAAGCTTACAGACAGCTGGGAGATCTCCAAGTTGTCAGCATTGCAAAGTTGCATTTTCTCTGTTGCCAAGTAACGCAGCGTTGCCAAACACTTAATTTCCACACTGATCAGGTTGTTTCAGTTGGGTAGGAGATGTTAGAGTCCCTCACAAACAGCGATCATTATTCCCTCGTGATTGAGTCGTTTCTTTTAAGTAATTCAGCATCGTTTAAGGTTTCCAAAACACTGCGATGTTGTCACAACTGTCAGGGTTGTCAGGGTTTGAGGGGACCCAAATGCAGCCAACGCATGGGAGACGGCGCACACAGGTTTATTAAACTAACACAAGCATAGGGAACCATAGGGGATGACAACAGGTAACATGAACAGGTAACATGAACAGGTAACATGAACAGAACGAAGACAAACCAGACTTGAACAGCTTGAGGAAAATCCAGAAATCAACAGGCATGAACAGGCTAAGGATAAACCCTGAGACAACAAAGACAACAGACGAATCGACCCAGACAAAGGGGAGCACAAAGACTATATAGACAAGGGAGGCAAGGGTGATTGCACACAGGTGAAACACATTAGGGCGGGGCAGACAATCACCACACAGAAACCGGACCAAGACAGGAAGCAAAAACACTGAGACACACAAGGAAACCAATTACAAAATAAAACAGGAAGTGAGAAAAGTCCAAACAAAACTAACAAAAGGTGTCTGCCATAGCAAACCATGACAGATGTAGAATGACGGCAGCTCTTTAAGATTCTTTATGATTTGGTCTTAGTGAGTGAGTCTTGACTGCTTCTAACTTCTCCTAGACTTTGTGAATAGTTCTTAGTTAGAAAAATAATGAGTCCTAAATAAAGGACTGACACACCCATTATTTTGAGTTAGGAGCTACTTTTAGCCTTAAGATGCTTTGTGAATACAGGCCCTGATATCTGTTGTCAGGTAGGGGATTATAGAAACATGATTTTTGTAGTCAGGTAGGGGATTATAGAAACTTGATTTCTGTTGTCAGGTAGGGGATTATAGAAACCTGATTTGTCCTTGAGATAGGTAAACAGGTTTCTAATTGGCTTCATTCAGGTACACATGAGCAGGACAGAAAGGATACAGACAGGGAGAGTACAGGAGCAGGCGGACGAGTGTTTTAGTACATAAAATAACTCAACCCAAAGTCCTACTGAATCTGAAAGCAACTGAAAAATTCTCTTTCCACTGCTAACTACAGTATCTGTTAAATTGAATTGCATACATTCACACTGGAAGAGAAAGCTCTACTCTGTCTGCTCTCATGAATAGGGAAGTAACTCCCCCCACTCAATTTTACTCATGGTACTGAAATTATTCTTCAGTCTGAATTAATGACAGGGTGGACTAACCTCATAGTCGACCTCCAGTGAGTCTCCCTCCCCTTTGGTTTGGAAATGCTGCGTGTGGGAGTCCATTGTGAGGTTCACCTGTTTGTTGAAGCGCTCAATGACGACAGAGTGCCAGTGTTGGTCGTCCAGCAGACTGCCCACTGTGACAGCAACACGACTGCTGCTGAACCTCAGCCTGGTGTCGTCTGACAATGACACAAAGACATAAAACACCTCAGTGAATAGGTGATTCTCTGAAGTCATTTACTCAATAAAAATAATTGCTTGTTCCAGTTTCTCATATATAATTTGCAGGTTTAAGTTACAGGACTCAAAACTTATGACTTTTAAACTCCACTTTAACCTAAAATGCCTTGATATCCAAAATGTGGTATTCTGGTAAATAAACTGAACTGCAAACCAAAGCTGAGGATTTGGTTTGAAGAGTGTCTGTGATTTTGATGTTTTGTTTTTTTTTGGCCGATGAAAGTTTTCAAATTGTGATTGACATGAACTCAAACTGACCGCAACTGCTGTCAGGTCAAGTTGTTCCTCTCTAACTATGCCACACCCCTTTCATGTTTGTTACGGCCTCCAAGAATAAAGCTCAAAAGGGGCAGGAGGCTGCAACATATGTAAAAAGGACACCAGACAAGAATAACATTTCACCCAAGCTTTATTGAAATATCCCCCGAAATTATTCATAGTTTATCAACCTAAACCAAAGAAAACAAAAAGGACTGGAGATCCTGGCCAAAATAAACAAACGACAGGTAAACGCTGGGCCAACCACGCAGTGGGCTGTCGCTCCCAGCGCTTCCTCCTAGAGTACCTAAACCCAACTTAACCTAAAATAAAAGACGAATAACATGACTACCGGTAATCTCCAGCCCGAAAGAACATAAACTAAAATAACAAAACCCAACCGCACTTAACTGTGCGTGGAGGAACGAACCCGGCTTGGAGAAGGAAGAGAGGACAAAAGAACCCTCACCCAGATACAGCTGTCTGTCTGTCTGTCTGTCTGTCTGTCTGTGTGTGTGTGTGTCTCCTCCCTGTCTCTGCACTCTCCGCCCCTTTTATCCCTTCCCTCTGTCCCCGAGTGCCGATTGCATCCAGGTGTGCACCAGGCAGAGGGAACTGGGAGGCAGGTGCAGCCGCGAGAGGACAGGACACCAAAACCAGGGCACATGCAACAATGTTGGGTACTGAAGAAAATTGATAATTTTTCTGAGATCTGTAACTAGGAGGTGCCAGCACACAGACAGGGAGCTGTTTAGACTGGTCATGTCTGCTGCAGGTACCACTGCACTCCCACTGTTGGTCCTATCAATGCTCTTCCTTCCCTCTACCTGTGTGTCTGCCATTATCCCCACCCTGTTGATCAGCTGAAACAACTTTGGTGTGCTTAGGGTCTGACCGATGTACTGGTTTGAAGAAATTAAACCAATGTGATTATCTTTTTGACATTTTACCAGTTTCCTCCTTGTTGCTGAGGTTCAAATCACAGTTTCATCAGCTCAATGCACAAAACTCCACATGCTTCAGCCATCACTGAGACCTGAATGATCAACATCTCTCTCTTCTTAATCATAATTAAATTTCATCCAAAATAGGCAAACAGGCAATTTATGAGTACACTGTAAAAAAAAAAACCTTTAAAAAAACAGTAATATTCCAGCAGCTGGGGCGCCAGAAAAATACTGTAAAATAACGGAAAATAACTATCTCATAAAAATACAGTAATTTTCCATAATTAAAATAGTTTATAGCTTTAATTTTACACGAGATTTTCCGTATTTTTGGGGCTTTTTAATGTTTAATAAAGACCATTTACCCATATAAAAACAATGAAATTACCTATAAATAAGGTCTAACATTGTTATGATACAAATAATAAGGCTTAAAATTGCAGAAAGGTACTGTTATTAATTGGTTTTTATTACATAATTTTACATAAAAAACTTGAACTTGAAAATATTAATTCATATTTGATGTAATAAAATGACATACCACACATAAAAACATTTGATTTCTCTTCGGTAAACCTCGGTAGGGGGTTTAAAATTGCAACAATCTACTGTTAATTTTTGGTTTTTACATGTAATTTTATATAGATTTCTTGTATATTTAACATACCTTTCATGTTAAAAAAGTATTTTATTAACAGTATCTTAGCCTGTTTTGGTAAAAACCCAAAAACCTTTGGTTATATAACACTATCTTACACTACTAAAAACATCAACGAAAACACATACAAGGCAAAAGTTGGATGTAATACTTTAATGACCAAAAAGATTGTGAACATTAAACAAGTTTTTTTTTTTATAAAAATACACGAGTGCTCAGTATGATACTTACAGATCATCTTGATGGTTAAGATTACTGATGTTGGACAGGCGGTTTGGGTTATGCAATGTGAGTTGTATAACCCAGGTATACCCTGGCTTACTACTACAGTCCATAGGGAGATAGAAGTCCAAGGTTTTGAAAAGTCCATTGCCATAAAAGTGTCCTTTATTAGTCAGGATGTTTCCAAGGTGCTGCCTCCTCCTGTCCTGTCCTGTAGCTGTTGATGCAAGGGAGTAGCAAGGGCGCAGCAAATGTTACTGTATGTGGACATCAAGGGTTTCGCCAGGTTGGATGAACTGAGTTGCAGCAATTGACCTAACACCAGCATAAGGGAGAGAGCAGAGAAAACAATTATTTTATGATCAAAAGTTGTTTCATTGAAACTAAAGTTGTGATGAGAAATATTTATTAAAATTTATATCACAATATTTTTAGAATTTTTGACAATAACGGTATACAGTATTTCACAGCACCAAAACACTTAAAATAAAAACCAGTAGTGTCGGCTTAGGACTGGGAAATATATAGATATTTTAGTGTTGTCTTTTGTCTCTGGCTGCATTAAAGTAAAGTGATATCATTTTCTGAACTTACCAGACTATTCTATTATTTTCCTTTACACACTTAGTCATAACTGATGATTATTTATCAAAAATCTGATTGTGTAAATATTTTATGAAAGCACCAATGTCATCCCCACAATATAACCTAACAAGTAGTCAGATGAACAGGTAGCCAAATAAAATCTAGTTTTCGAATAAACTCCCAGTGCCTATATAATTTGCATGTCAACAAAATATAATGTACAAAATTTTAGAGAATTTAATTACTATGTTCCTCATTTTAACATTCCATCCATTCATCCGTTATTAATCAAAATGTTCATTTTTTGAGCTCAACCCACCCGATCCACCGAGGTTAATCTAACTAGTGTTAATGTTAAGCCCCTTTTTGCACAGCCTGTTCAAGGCGGGAATACTGTGCTTTGCAGTTCTGTGTACAACACTTAAGTCAACATTTACTGGAAGTGTGTATGAATTTGTGTTTGTATGGAATTACTCACCAGAAATGTGCCGACAGAATACAGAAACAGATCCACGCGAAGGCTCATGGATCTACCAACACCAGGACAACGCTGAGGTGAACTTGGTAGCTTTTAAATGGGCCAAGCTCAATGTCCTAACACGTGAAAAAAGAAAAAGTTTTAAAAATGTATTTATTTATTCACAATGTAATCATCATTTACTTTTTCTAGAGTTGTATATCTTACCTAGAAAAGTAATAATGTCAAGGATTCAGCTGAGGACCACTCAACTTCGGGACTTCAGGACCACTGGACATATTTGGCTCAGCCTGCTGGACAGCACAACATATGCATTTACTAACTGAACAGATATTCCACAAATGCAACAGGTGTCATGGTTTGTTATGGCAGACACCTTTTGTTAGTTTTGTTTGGACTTTTCACACTTCCTGTTTTATTTTGTAATTGGTTTCCTTGTGTGTCAGTGTTTTTGCTTCCTGTCTTGGTCCTGTTTCTGTGTGGTCCTACTTACCACAACACCCTGACAACAGGAGTACATCTTTTAACAATGGTCAAACAGCCATAACATTATAATCATCAACAAATGAACAGTATAACTTAACTAAGGTAAATATGACACTTTGGCCTGAAATACAGTATGTCCTGGCATGCAAAATCAGGCACCGCGTTTTTCTCAAAACACTCAAAAGCAACTACACAGGCGATGTCACTTCAAAGAAGAGAAAAAAGCGGGAGTCTGTAATAGCCGCAAGCATAACATTGACTTCCACAGCAAATTTCAACCTCTGCAGCAACTGTGGCCGCCAAATGTTGGAGAAAAAGATTGTCCACAGACCGGCTGATAATGTTACAGTCTATGAACCTAACAACCAACGACAGAACCAGCTGTAAGTTACCTTAGAGCTAACGTTAGCCTAATGGTAAAGTATCTGGACACAGCTAAAATGCTTATTAATTTGCCCTTCACTGGCAACGTTAGCTAGTAGCAATTGAAAACACATAATCTACATAATTTCACATAAACAACATAATCTAAATAATTCCACTCATAAAAAATGTTTACCTTGTTAAACTTGATTCCACCTTTCCCTGGCAGCTGAAGACAGAAAGTTCTGGAGGAGCAAGTTAGCCGACGGACTTTTGGAGGAGAGCAGAGAGTGTAGCATAGCTCACACACACAACTGTCCCGGAGCTCCAGGAGGCAGAGCCGAGTGCAATGCTCTGATTGGACGGCAAAGATTCAAACTGTAATATTTGAATACGGCACCTTTCTGTCCAGTATGGAAGCGTATTGCATTCACTTGAATAAAAAAATAAAAAAATAAAAAAAATCATTTTTTTCTGAGTAATTTATTTTTTGGTCTGTTTTTCGAGGTAATTATTCCTGTTTTTCGAGGTAATTATTTCTGTTTTTCGAGGTAATTTTTTTTAACGGTTTTTCTGTCATGTTTTGCCATGGCAGACACTTTTTGTTAGTTTTGTTTTGGACTTTTTCACTTCCTGTTTTATTTTGTAATAAGGTTTCCTTGTGTGTCTATGTTTTGCTTCCTGTCTTGGTCTTGTTTCTGTGTAGTGATTGTCTGCCCAGCCCTAATGTGTTTGGATTGGATACATTCACTCTTTATTGAGAGCTTGATGTAGGCTAATTGAAGCAAACATGACCTGCTTGTGTAGTTTAATCAAGTTTTACTTTGATCTGGGTTTAAGACACTGGGAGATTGTCCTGTCTTTAAGTCATATAGATGGTATTATTATTAGTTTGTCAACCTTGCGGTTATGTCAGAATAATACTGTGACACCTGCCTGCTT